AGCCTCCGGGGCCGGCGGGGGTGCAGTGCCGAGGGCTCGGCCAGGAAGGGACCGGCAGCTGCTGGACTGGACTCGGGCCTTGTGGGTCGTAGCGAGAGGGGGGTGCTGGCGCCCCCGAGTCGTGGAGGAAGCAGGGCTTTTGGTTAAGGTTTCTCTTTGGGGCCTCAGGAAACTCCATATTGTTTCCTACCCACGGAGCTGGTTCGGTCCCTGCGCTTGTTGCGCAGATAGGATTGCGGGGCCCCAACCTTTTGTGTTTATGATCACAGGGCGCTGACTTGGGCTGTGGGTGTTTCGGGGGGGGGGACGGGGAGAGCAAGAAATAATTGAATTATTCTCTTACAAAGACGGGGCTCACATCCTTGGCTCGTGTCTTTCCTTACTGCTTGCTGACTCCCCTTCCCCCTGCACCCCTTTCCCCTCTTCACGATGAAACCCGTCGGTGCGGCTCGCAGGCCGCCTCGGGGAGCCTGCGTCGGGGACGACGGGCGTGTTTGGGGAGAAAACTGTCAATTGCCAGCCACAGCCGGGAAGTGCTGTAATTAGCTCGGCGTGGGTCCTCCCGGCCAGTCCACGTTTCCTTCGAACTTTTGAAAATGTTGCAAATCGAAGCTGAGAAGGGGTAGGAGGAACATTTCCGTTTCTGAGACGGTGCTCAGTGCAAGTTTCAGTTTTAATTAAGGGGACGCAGTTCTCACACTTGGATCTGAAATCTCTCACATCCATGATGGATGGTAATGATCACACTTAATCTTTGGAGGTTGCCCTCTTCATCCTCTTAGTACTTCGCAGACACGTTTTCAGTGCGAACTACTGATATTGTTGATCATAATAGAAACCTGTCAATGTAGGATACCACTCACTGTCTGGAACGGAAACTAGGTAACTGTTAACCACCATCTGCCTAAGAAGTGAATCATATTCTGGGAGACTTTGAAATAATACCTCTTTGTGTTTGTGAGCATCAGGATTTGCTTGTGAGCAACTTTTCTTTCTTTTTTTAAGGCATAAGTATTTTAGAAAAATGTTGTTTGAGAAGTCGTGGTATATGACAAAAACAACACTAATTAATAAGCTTGTGTGTTTTGGATAAGGAATGTAAAGGAGGTAAAAAGGAACAAACCCAACAGAGTAGGCATTTACTTTCTGTCTGGCCTTTGTAAAGTTTTTATTCACTTCATTTTAAAATATGCATTCGGTTTTGGGAATAATTAAAAATGGAGGAAGTTAACCACTTTATATATTTTTTATAGATTTCAGAAAGGAAGGGAGAGGGAGAGAAACATCAATAATGAAAATCAAAAGGCTGCTCCTGCAAGCCCTCTACTGGGGATCAGCCCGCAACGCTAGCATGTGCCTGGGCCAGGAATTGAATCATGACCTTCTGGTTCTGATGCCGCGCTCAACAACTGAGCCACACCGGCCCGGCTAACAGTTTTTTAGTATTCAAATTCTTGGCTGTTTTCAAGCAAAAGATTTTGACATGTAGACATGTCTATATTCCTGCTTCAGCTACTGTTTTAAAGGATAAGAACTTAAGGAAAATGCATTTTTCTTCACAAAGTTTAATTTCTACACTTGAAATTCATAAGGTTACAAATGGGTTTTATATTTCTAAAAGCATAAAGTTAAGTCAAAAGCTTATAAAGCTCTTGGAGGATTCTCAGTTGCTGTCAGAAATAGAAGAAATTTGTCTTGCCTTGTACATATGTAGATTTACTCCAGTTAAGTTGTGAGATACTTATTGGAGTTGTGATGCAATTAAGTGGAATGAATCATTGACTTTTAGAACATTCAGGGAGGAAACTGAAGGGAAGAGATTGTCATTTGCGAACTATTGCTAATTTAATTACAGTATCTTTATACTAATATTCTTTGGGTTGCTTTGAACTGACAATTTAAAATGTTTGAGATTGATTTCATTGTGGGTTTGGTTTTGTGTGCAGTTCATCTTTTTGTGTCTCTATTAGCCTGGCTAATGATGTGATCTAAGTGCAGTTGTATTCTTAATTTTTAAAAAAGTGTTAGGGGAAACAGTTTTTTATAACCTTCCTGTGTTTGCTAACTTAACTTTTTCTTTGTTTCAGATTGAAGTGAGTGAATTCAGATATATAACCAAACCTCGTTAGAGAGCCTTTAAAAAAATAAAAAGTTGATTCGGTGCATGAGAGCAAGTTACTGCTGCTTACTATTCAGAGACTTACAGGTGCTTGCCTGCATTGCAATAAAGGACTCAATATTGAGCAAGACTTATATTTATCTCTTCATTTTGGAGAGCCTAATAAACTGTATTACAGTTTCTCTACTGACTTTCAAAAGTTTTGAAGTTTGGAAGAGACATCTGTACATTTAATACAGCATGAGCACGGCCAGAACAGAGAACCCTGTTATAATGGGTCTGTCCAGTCAAAATGGTCAGCTGAGGGGCCCTGTGAAGCCCAGTGGTGGCCCCGGAGGAGGGGGCACACCAACACAGCAACAGATGAACCAACTGAAAAACACCAACACAATCAATAATGGCACTCAGCAGCAAGCACAGAGTATGACCACCACTATTAAGTAAGTGTGAGAACAAATAAACGTACTTGGGGGGACCAAGATTTCTTTCTATTACTTTGTTAAGGACTACTCTATGTATACTTTAACCATTTTGATTGCAGAGGACAGATGACTTTGTTTTATGGCCAGTAGGTATTTGCAATAGAATAATGTATTTCTGTCATAACTAATTGAGGTTTATTAAGTAATGAATATAGGTACAGATGATATATATTAATTTTGTATAAGTTATATTTTAAACATTGATGGTTTTCATAATTAGCTCAGATTCATCTTGTTTTTGTCAGTATGATTTTTCCATAGTATAACTGCATCATATCCTAGTTTAAATGACATTTAAAGTCAATTTCAAGTTTCAAATTTAAGGACTTGCCCAGCCTTCTTACCTCCAAATGTACTCATAAAAATTTATCCATAACTTTTTTTTTTCAGTTCATGCAACTTTGCTTAAAATTTTTTGTTTTATAAGCTTTCTCCTGTTACACACACACACACACAAAATAATACGCAGTCAAATATCATAGAATCTCAGGATTTTGAACTCTGGGAAACACATCTCTGAATAGCCCCAATTCCCCTAGTTGACTAAAAACTTAAGAGCCTCATCTGACTACAGAATGTGTTTTCTTTCAAATCTGGAAGATTGTAGGCTGCCATTTTTTAAGTGTTCACTATACATTATTTGAATGGTAAATATTGCTCTAAAGATTCAGTTAATAGAAAATTAACATTTAAACTTGACCCATTTGAGGTTTGGCTTTGTTAAGAATCTAGCCATATAGTTGATTTAACTTCTAGAAATCTAAGATGATGAAACAGGTTCACTGAACTAAAGTATTTTGTGTTACAATCCAGATCCTTTCATGCTTAAGAATCACTTCCTAAAGAAAAATAGCTTTTATAAGATACCAGCATGTCATATAGATGGTCACTGCTATGTGGTTCACTAGCGACCTATAAGAATTTCCAATAGAATTGATTTGGTCACTGGGAGAATTGTCATTAATGCATATTCTATTATTTTTAAGGTGAATGCTTTAATTAGAATATTTTCTGAATTGTAGTTTGTCTTGATAAACTATGAATAGACTAGCAAAATTTAGGCTATTTTTATTCCTTAAAAACAGAAACATAAATCTATGTTATTTCATTATGGGAGTGTTTTCTACTTAAATTCTAATTTGAGACAACAGTGGACTTTACTTTTGCTTTTCCTAGGATTAATGGTTTCTTTTCAATTCTTTGGCTTCTTTAAATCACAGTTCAAGTGTCATCTCTTCCATGAAGGCTTCTAGATCCCATCAGCTGTTCAGAACTCTTCTAATACTTAGCGCTATCACTGTTTTCTTATTTTAAGTAGTTTGGTTTATAAATTCCTTGTGGACAGATTTTGCATTGTATCCCTGTGCTTTTATTCACTGTTGAATTTGACAATGTGGTAGGCTGGCCTACTAGGATGTTCAGGTGACAATTTTTGCTTAGAAACTGCTGTGGTATAGGTTGAGGTAGAAGGCTTTCATACCCTTGGAAGTGGTAGCAAATAGTTGCCTTTGTTAGAGTGTCTTTGATTATGTGGGGCCTAGCTTTAAGTAAAATAAGGATTCATCTTTCTAAATCAAGACTTGAAATGTTTTGGAGGCTCTGATTATGAGTGGCTATAATGAAAACGTATTATTACATATATTTTCCCCCCCATTGCTATTAGAGAGTGGAAAGGAGGGAGGGTGAGAGGGAGAGAGAGAGAAAGAGAAACATCAGTTGATTGGTTGCCTCCAGCACACGCCCCCACCAGAGATGGCGAGTGAACCCCTAATCCAGTATGTGCCCTTGACCAGAAATCAAACAAGTGACCCCTGGAGTGAAGCTCTGACCACTGAACAACACCAGCCAGGGCAAAACTTATTTTTTAAAAAATATATTTTCTTATTTTTATTTATTTCAGAGAGGAAGGGAGAGGGAGAGAGAGATAGAAACATCAATGATGACAGAGAATCATTGATTGGCTGCTTCTTACATACCCTCTACTGGGGATCAAGCCCGCAACCCAGGCATGTGCCCTTGACTGGAATCGAACTCAGGAACCTTCAGTCCGCAGTCCGACGTTCTATCCACTGAGTGAAACCAGCCAGGGCAAAACTTATTTATTTTAAAGACAACGCTGTTGAAAAGCACTGTTTGCCTTATTGCCAATTTTTTTTTTTCTATTAGATGCTTTGGATATTATAGTAGAGGTTTTTGCCTGACCTAAAAGAGATTTAAAAAATTATATTTTCCTTGTGTTTTAACTGTTTTCATACTTTAAAGCAGCAGTCACCAACCGGTGGTCCGTGAGGTCTGAAAGGTTGGCAACCACTGGTTTAAGGAAACCTTTGGAGCAGCGGTTGCCAACCGGTGGTCCACGAGGTTTGAAAGGTTGGCAACCACTGGTTTAAAGCATACCTGGTAAAAAAGATTAAGAGAGATGTTCGTTAACAGATAATATTGAGTTCTTTTGTTTCTTTTTTTTTTAAAGGAGTTTTTTGTTTGTTTTTATATTTTTGTTGATTTCAGAGAGGAAGGGAGAGACAGAAACATGAGTGTCAGAGAGAATCACCAATTGGCCGTCCCCCTGCAGGCCTCCACCACCGGGGACCGAGCCCAACACTGTGCTGATTGCTTTATGTAAATTATCTAATATAATTCTTCTTTTAAAAAATGTGTTTTTGCCGAAACCGGTTTGGCTCAGTGGATAGAGCGTCGGCCTGCAGACTGAAAGGTCCCAGGTTCGATTCCGGTCAAGGGCATGTACCTGGGTTGCGGGCACATCCCTAGTGGGGGATGTGCAGGAGGCGGCTGATCGATGTTTCTCTCTCATCGATGTTTCTGACTCTCTATCTCTCTCCCTTCCTCTCTGTAAAAAATCAATAAAATATATTTTTAAAAAAAAATGTGTTTTTACTGATTTCAGAGAGGAAGGAAGAGGGAGAGAGAGATAGAAACATCAATGATGAGAGAGAATCATTGATCGGCTGCCTCGTGCACGCCCCCACTGGGGATCGAGCCCACAACCCAGGCACATGCCCTTGACCTGGATCGAACCTGGAACCCTTCAGTCCACAGGCCGACACTCTATCCACCGAGCCAAACCGGTCAGGGCCTGATATAATTCTTAACCCGTTGTATATATGACAATGGAAACTTGGAAAAGTAACTGCTGCCCGGTCAAAAAATAAGTGGTAGGGTCAGGAATGAAACTTTGGAGTCTGGTGTGTGTTTTTTGTGTGTGTTTTGTTTTGTTTTAATTCAGAGGGGAAGAGGGAGAGAGAGGTAGAAACATCAATGGTGAGAGAAAATCATTGATCAGCTGCCTCCTGCACGACCCACGCTAGGAATTGAGCCCGCACCGAGGCATGTGCCCTGACTGGGAATCAAACCATGACCTGGTTCATAGGTGGATGCTCAACCACTGAGCCGTGCCAACTGGGCTGGAGTCCTTGGTTTTAATTTGTATCCAGAAGTTACCAACTCAGATGCCTGTGCCAGATGAGAGGATACTTGCCCTCTTTAAAGGGTCAGCTGCTTGATTTTAAACTCAGTTACCAAGCTCTGTCGAACTATCGCCGTGCAGAAATTTGGAACCAATGTTGCTAAAGCTTCCAGTTTTACAGGAAAAGCCAGAATCTGGACTTTTACACAAAATCTTCTAATTTTTTAATATTAGTAACTAGTTTAAAACACATACATGATATGTTTATCTCTGTTAACTATATTCTTTATATATATATTAGATTTTTTTTATTGCTTCTAGAGGGGGCGGTAGGGGAGAAATATTGATGCAAGAGAGACATTGATCTGTTGCCTCCCACAGGCACCCAACCAGGAATTGAACCCACCACCTTTTGGTGTGTGAGATGATGCTCTCCAACCAGTTGAGCCACACGGGCCAGGGCTGTTAACTATATTCTTAAGTAAATGGCAATATATTAAACTTACTGTGCTTTTTATAACTAAATTATAATTGAGATGAATTATCTTTGTATTAGAATATGATGCTATGAATTCTGATACTTCAATTTTACTACATTCTCTCTAGACCTGGTGATGACTGGAAAAAGACTTTAAAACTCCCTCCAAAGGATCTAAGAATCAAAACTTCGGTAAGTTGGTTGTAAAATTTAACTTAAGATGGTGTGGAAACTCTAAAAGTGAAGTAATTTCTATATAATAAAAGGCTAATATGCAAATTGTCCCCTCGACTGGGAGTTTGACCAGGGGACAGGCCAGCCGGCCAACCTCCTGCGTCCCCTCCCCCTGGCCCAATTGGGCCAGACCCCACCCGTGCACAAATTCATCACCAGGCCTCTAGTTAATAATAATGGGTACTCTGTGTTCACTCTTAAGTTGAAATGGTTGAAATTGTGTAGACCAGTGATGGCGAACCTTTTGAGCTTGGCGTGTCAGCATTTTGAAAAATCCTAACTTAACTCTGGTGCCCTGTCACATATAGAAGTTTTTTGATATTTGCAACCATAGTAAAACAAAGACTTATATTTGTGATATTTATTTTATATATTTAAATGCCATTTAACAAAGAAAAATCAACCAAAAAATGAGTTCGCGTGTCACCTCTGACACGCGTGTCATAGGTTCGCCATCACTGGTGTAGACAATGTGATGAATTGCCAAGAATTTTCACTATTTGGAGGAATTATATTAAAATGTGTATCTACATATTAATATTTATATGTATGTATACTTTTCTAATTTATGGAATAACTAGAGGCCCAGTGCATGAAATTTGTGCATGGGTGCAGTCCCTAGGCCTGGCCGGCGAAACGCGAGCATCTGGCGTGGAAGGGCAGGTCCCAGCTGACCTCTGGGCCTTGGGCAGCACCCGGGCTCCTGTATGCCCCCTTCCCCTAAGTCATCGGGCCCCCCCGTCACCGCTGGTCGCTGTCTGTGGGGCAATCGGGGCCCACTCAACCCTGCCTGGCCTGGCGCCACCCGCTAACCTGCTCCACCATCCCTCTGCGGTCCTGCTCTTGTCGGGGGCCCATCAAGGCCGGCAGCGCCTCCACTGCTGCCCGCTGCCAGTGTTGTGTCACCAATGCCTGCCATGTTCCACACCCCCCCCCCTGGTGGTCAGTGCATGTCATAGCATGCAGTTGTACTCCTAGCCGAGGGGACATTTTGCATATTACGCTTTTATTATATAGGATAGTTTTCAAGGCATATTCTCTTTTGTTCAGTAAGATTGAGGCCAGGTGTTATCTCCATTTTGTGGATGAGAAAATGGAAGTTGCAAATGGTTAGTTCTCTTAGCCCAGTATTTTCAACCAAGGGTTATTTAGCAATAGCTACAAACATTTCTGGTTATCACAGCTGGGGAAAGGCTACAAGACAGCCCCTTACAGCAGTGAATTTTCTGGCCCAAATGTCAGTATTGCTGAGCTTGAGAAGCCCTGATTTTGACTAGGCTATTTGTAAGCAATGAGTGGTAAACTAGGGTTTGATTTCATATCTTCGATTTTAATTTCACAGCATGATTCTTACAGTATTCCACCTGTTCCTTAGAAGAATATGACCACAGAGTGGCCTTTCCTCCAAACACAGTTTTTAAATGACTTGTGTCTGTTAGAGAGTGATTATTCTTCGGGAATAGTTGAAATACAAATCAGGACAGAGCTAATCTGCATATATTTATATCTTAAATGGGACAGATAAAGAATTAGTTTCTCAGACAAACTTTCTTAAGCATGCTAACTAATGAACACAGTTGTGCTTTATTCTTTTATTATTGTTTTGTTTGGTTGACTAGGATGTAACCTCCACAAAAGGAAATGAGTTTGAAGATTACTGTTTAAAGCGGGAGTTACTGATGGGAATTTTTGAAATGGGCTGGGAAAAGCCATCTCCTATTCAGGTATGTTTCCCCTTTTTATTACGTGTATAATGTTATGAGTGAAGAATTACATACTTGTCATCTATGGGGATGATAAAATGAATATTTCTCTTATGTGTACACACCCACGCATATATGCACTCGTTTTCCGAACCTTTTTTCCCCCCCAAACCTTTTAAGAGTAAGTTACAAAATCATGGCCATCACCTCTAAATATTTCAGTGTTTCCTAAGAATAGAGATACTATGTTATGTCTATATATATAAAAGCCTAAGCGACCATTACAACCAAACGACCAGTCAACCAATCACTATGATGCTCATTGACCACCCAGAGGCAGATACTCAATGCAGGAGCTGGCCCCTGGTGGTCAGTGCATTCCCACAGCCAAGCTCCCCCCAGCCCCCGGCCATGCACTGGGCCTCTAGTATAACCACAATATAGTTATCTGCAGTCAAATCAGCATTAATACAATATTTCTATCTCATCATTTGGATTCTAATTTTTAATTGACCCGAAAATGTCCTTTTTAGCATTTTTTTTCCTCCTTGGTATAGAATCCATCCTAGGATTGGGTATTGCATATAGTTATATCTCTCTAACCTCCTTTCAGCATTTCCCTAGTCTGTTTTAGTCTTTTATGATATTGATATATTAAAAAATATAGTACCCTTTTTAAAATAGAACATTCCTCATTCTGGGTTTGTCTCATGTTTCTATGTGATTAAAGTTAATACATTCTCAGCCAAAATACTGTAGAAATCATGCTATGGCCTTCTCAGGGTATCACATTTGGAGGTGTACACAATGTCTGTTTATTTCTCATTGATGTTTTAATTTTGATTACGCTGTCAAAGCGGCTTCTGATTTTTCTACTGTATAATTACAGCTTTTTTCCTATCTTGGAATTAATAAGCATCTGTAGAGATCACTTTAAGATCATGCAGAGATCCTACTCTTCATCAAAGTTTCTCCTAGTCTTAGCATCCATTGATAATCCTATCTTTGTTGGATTATAATGAGTTTCCAACTCTAGGACTCTTTTGGCTTTTTAAAGAGCCTTCCCTATCTCCTCCTTATGCATATCCTATATAATAAAGAGCTAATATGCTAATTAGACCAAACGCCGGAACGACCAGTGGGCGGGACCACGATGGGCCAAGGCAGCTGGAGCTGCGAGGGCCGAGCTCTTGCACGAATTTCGTGCATCGGGCCTCTAGTATGTGTGTATATATATAATCAGTATGGAATCATGAATTCTTTTTTCCCCCCAATGATATTTTTGTGCTCAAATTCCCAGATTTGGGTAGTATGAGCTCCTTTGAGGTTGTTTTGTAACATGCCCCCTTTTCTTTTTCAGATAATTTTTATTTTTTAAATTTTATTATTTTTATCAGGTTTCTTTTCTTTCTTTTTTTTAGTCTTTAGTATTGAAAGTATTGCATATGTCCCCTTTTCACCCCATCTACCCCCCCAGCCCATCCCCACCCCCGCCATGGATAGACTATTTTTAGAGCAATTTTCAGCTCACAGCAATTGAACTGAAAGATAGAGATTTCCCATATACTCCTGTCCCCACTTATGCATAGCACCCCCCCATTATCAGTATTCTCTGCAAGAGTTATACATTGTGATACATTTGTTACAACTGATGACTTACATTGACATGTATCATCCAAACATCCAAAGTCCACAGTTTACCTTAAGGTTCACTCTTGGTGTTGTACATTCTATGAGTTTGAACAAATGTATAATGACATATATCCACCTTTATGGTATCATACAGAGTTGTTTCGCTGTCCTAAAAAATCCTTTATGCTCCACCTCTTCACCCTTTCCTCCCTCCATTTTTCTTGAGCACTTCGTTTTTGGCATATCATGAAGCTTATCTGTACCTACCCTGCCCCAGCCTTGGAATCAGCCATTTTCCCCCAGCCCCGGTTCCAATTAGTGGGGAATAGGGTTAGAGGCCAACATCTGAACACTAGGTGCACTCTTTGCTCCTTGGCCCTTTCAGTGGAAAGAGCAAGGGAATATACAGTATGTATGCATGCATGTACATGCATATATGTATACATAAACATGCAGTGTACATATGCAGATTTGATAAACGACTGTTCTCTTTATGTAACTTAAAAGTGTTGCATCTAGCCTTTAAGGACAATCCCCTATGACATCATTGAGCACTTTTTCATTAAGCAAACATTGAGTGACCTAGAAAGTGTTAGGTGCAGGATGTTGTGTTGAAAAGGCAGAGAGGGTTCCTGCCTTCACAGTCTGTGAAGCTAATTGTACAGATAATTTAGTGTAATACTACTTTCTACTTGAAATTGCACAAATATGTAGCCATTTGAGGAAGATGGAACAACCTGGAAGAAGAATTGATCCATGTTCTAAGCACAGAACACTAGGCTAGTGATTGTCTAGGGGTGAAAGTGTGCCTTAGTGGACAAACCAAAAGAAGTTTATTATGGCTAGAGAAAGTGTCAAGATAAGGTTATACATAATCAGATAGGCAGTGTGAATGTGGATATTAAAAATATGTAAACTACTTTTCTGTAATGTACAGACAGACTCAGTGTACATCATTTCGTGGTTACATCGCCATCTCCCATTTATTTATATAAAAAAAAAGTTCCGTCATTTCGACATATGTACTTTATGTTTTTTATTATTTATTTACCACAAGTAAAGGTCAGGAATTGTTACCTTTCTTTTAAATTTTTTTTTACTGTTTTACTTCATTACTGCTGTGTATGTGCTCCATGTGAGTGACATAGGTGCTTATGTAGGTGGGTTCCGACTTACGGCGAAAATCGCGTTTCCCATTACGTCGCGCCGTAGGAACAGATCTCCGATGTAACCTGAGGACCTACTGTAGTTCATGTTAATGTATTTTATCTGTACGGATAAAAAAAGTGTTCTGAGAGCTCTTCTGTAGGGTCTATGTCATTCAACTTTGTATCTCTGGTACTTAGCAAGGTGCATGCAGGAAACAGGCCCTCAAAATGCCAGTTGCATGTAGAAAGCTTTGAAATTATGGTTAACATATGTCGGCAGGTGAACTTGGTCTAACCTGCTTAGAGAACTGCTTAAGAACACTAGATTTGCAAGCAGGCTGCCCAGGTTGAATCCCAACTCTACTGCTTTTTTAGTTGATTGTTTGAGATATCTTCCTAAGCCCTGGTTTGCTAACCTATAAAATTGATATAGCATATACCATAGGGCTATTGTGAAAATTCAGTGAGATGATGAATGTTAGTATGCTTAATACAGTGCCTAGTATGTGTTAAATGCAGAAGAAATGTTATGGGTTATTGTTCCATATAACAGTTTTATTTATTGGTTCATTTAGCAGACCCTTGCTGGCTTCTATTTCACACCTTTGTATTAAATTTTAAAATTGACTTTGTTATTTGCATTCTCAGTGTTGGTATAGCATATAGGCAATTAATTCTCCAGCCACTTAGCCAAAGTACTAGATACCTGAGACTACCATTCACATTCACATTGTCTTTTTCTTCACTATTATTTTGCCTGAGAATTTGTGGAAAACACAGCAATGCCAGTGTCTACCATATGGCTAAGGAGGTTGGCTAGACTATGGATATATTGGGGTGGGAGAGATGTAATATCTCAGAAGGAAGCTAGGGTTCTACTAAGAAAGGGAAATGGATACTAACGTAACAAAAATACATCCAATATATCTTTATATCTCTCTCTCTATATCTATATATATCTACATATCTATATTTACTTATATATAGATATATATGTCTACATATGTCTATATATGTCTCTCTCTCTTTCTATATACATATATATATATATGTACATATATATAATATATTATATATCTATACACGCACACACACACTCTCTCTCTCACTCGGCTTGGTGTACGGCCGGGGGGCTGTGGGGAGGGACCATGGGAGGTTGGCCGCTGGCCCTATTGGGGCCAGGGGAGGTTGGCTGTGGGAGCACACTGACCACCAGGGGGCAGTTCCTGCGTTGAGTGTCTGCCTCTTGGTGGTCAATGTGCGTCATAGTGACTGGTTGACTGGTCGTTCGGTCGTAATGGTCGCTTAGGCTTTTATATATAGAGAGATTGGATCAGTTCCTAGACCTTACAGAGGATCATGGACTTGGAGAACTAAGGTGGCATGATTCTGCCATCATCAGACCTAAGGTTGTGGGATTGTTGGGCTAAATTAAATATAACTCAAATATCATACAGTTCACACACTTAAAGTATACAATTCAATGGTTTTTAGTATATTCACAGTTGTGCAAGCAATACTACAATCAGTTTTAGAACATTTTCATCACCCTAACCAGCGGTTCTCAACCTGTGGGTCACGAACAATGAAAATACATCCTGCATATCAGATATTTACATTACGATTCATAACAGTAGCAAAATTACAGTTATGAAGTAGCAATGAAAATAATTTTATGGTTGGGGTCACCACAACATGAGGAACCGTATTAAAGGGTCGCGGCATTAGGAAGGTTGAGAACCACTCAGAAAGTCCTTTAACAGTCTCTCCTCATTTTCTCTTAGCTCTAAGCAGCCACTAATCTACTTTCTGTCTCTATAGCATGATTTACCTATTCTAGACATTTCCTATAAATAGAATTGTACAATATATGGTCTCCTGTGGCTAGCTCTTTTGGTATATCATATTTCCTTATGGGTCATTCATGTTGTGACATATATCAAAACTTTATTCCTTTCTGTTGAGTAATGTTCCATTGTATGGCTATATCACATTTGGTTTATCCACTCATCAGTTGGTAGGGTTGTTTGCACTGTTAGCTATTATGAATAACTAGAGGCCTGGTACATGAATTCCTACACAGGTGGGGTCCGGTTGGCCCGCCCCAATCGGGCCAGGCTGGCTGGCACCGCCCCCGATTGGGGTGGGGGGCCGATTGGGGGCAGGACGGCCAGGGGGAGGGGCCTGGAGAAGACCCACTGAGCTGGAGCTGAGCATGGACCCCAGGCTTCCCAGGGAGGACAGCCTCAGCAAGGAAACAGAAACCACCAGAAGGCTCTGCAAACAGGCCCTGAGCTCCCTTTGGCCAGGCAGACTCAGCTAGTGTCTCTGTGTGCACATTAGACACAGCCTGGCACTCACCTTCGTCTGTTGGTCAAATCCATTGCTTCGAAAAACTTGTTCTCCTTCTTCTTTTTGGGCCCTTACAACAAATACAGGCCAATTGGAAAATGCAGGCCCCAGTGGCAGAGCCAGGCCTCACAATCACCCGGAGTTTAGGCCTAAGACAACTGGGTAGCCATCTCCATGGAACAGAAGACACTGTTTTAGAGTCTTAATTCTCCCCTAAAATGTGCCCAACTGCTCCTCTTTAGCCAGGATAGACTGAACTAAGGAACCAAAGACCAAGTTTCCTTTGAGGTGGGAACCATCTGGAGCCGGCTGGTGGCAAGGCCCCTTACAGGCAGCTGCCTTCCCCCCAAGCTCGGTGTGCTCTGAGCAGGTCCATTTCTGGCAGTGCCCGGTCCTGGGCTGCTGGTCAGGCGGCAGGTCCACAGGCTTCTCTCCCCCACCTTCCTGGCCTCCTGAGCAGTACCCTCCGGCCCGGCGCGCCAGGAGGCTTTCACTAGAGCCGGGACTCAGAGAGCGAAGGAGCTGGACTCACAGGTTGCCAGGCTGCACCCCCCCACCCCACTTCTCTGTCTTGCTCGTGTGGATCGGGCCAAAGCCCACTACCCAAGACTGGCGCCACATGGGGAGGGTTGCAGCGGGGAGAGGGGTGCCCTGACATGCCAGCCTTGGTGACGATCATCTCGGTGCCCAGCTGATTGAATTTGTCCCACAGAGCCTTCATCTTAAGCCGCACGCTCACACTGGCCACCTTCGCGTTGTTCTTTACTGGTGCCTTGGCGGCGGCTGTGCAGCCAGCCCCGGGGCCCTCGTGCTCGGCAGCAGCACTGGTGGTGGCCCTTGCAGCTGGTGCATCATAGCGACCGGTCGTTTCAGTCGTTCTGCCGTAATAGTCGCTGGGCTTTTATTATATAGGTGCTGCTATGAGCATTAATGTACAAGTTTTGTGTGGAGATGTTTTCACTTTGGGGGTTATATATCTGGGAGTGGAATTGTGGGTTCATATGCTAATGCTGTATAACCTGTTGAGAAGTTGCCAGACTTCCAAAGAGGCTATACATTCCCACTAGCAGTGTGTGAGGGTTTTGAATTCTCCACATCCTCACTTACATGTTGTTATTTGTAGACTTAAGTTCAAGTCCTGGTTCTAGCATTTCTTGCTTCATGACCTTGGGCAAAACAATTAATCTCTGAGGATCCATTTTATAAATTGTAAAACAAAAAGTACCAAACTTAAAAGGACATAAATATTATAAGGTATCTACCTAGCAGAGTGCCTAGCACACAGTGTTTCAAGAATTTTTAGCTTCCTTTTCTCCTTCTCTTCTGGCAGCTTCACATTATTTCCTCTTGGTTTCAGAGCTGTCTGAATCTGAGTTTTCTTGCTTCATATTACCTGGTCTTCCTAGGAAACAGTGGTAAGAGACAGTGTGGATGTGCTGAATTACCACACTAATCATCACGGCCATCATACAGGCAAAATACCAGTGCATCCTAACTACAGACTAGCTTGCTGACTTTGTTACAAAGTCTTACCCTTAAACAGTTTCTGTAGAGCATGAGCCCTGTCAAAGAAAATAGAGGGATTTAGAAGTTAGTGGCCTCAATCTAAATCAAATGACATACCCAAAATGTGAATTAGGATACCCCCAAATTAATTCTACCCTGCCTGACTTTATTAAAAATGTTTATAGTTTTAGAGGACCTGGCTCAGAAAAGCATTGGAAGACCCTTGGAGACCATTTAGCCCCATCCATTCCCCGTCCCTTTTTTTTTTTTTTGGCTGTGGTGTGCAGGTGGCCTGTTTAAAAACCATAGAAGAGTCCCTGGCCTAGTTGCTCAGTGGGTTAAAGCGTTGTCCTGATACACCAAGGTTTCGGGTTTGATCTCCAGTCATTTTCTTCCCTGACTTGCTTTACCACAATAAGCAGACTATTTACTGCTGGTTATAGGAACAAGATAACAGTATTGTCACCGGGCCATTTTCACAGTTCTGGTGTCTATGCTAGTTATTCTGACCGTACGGAACCCATCTGACCCCTGTGATTGGGTTCTGGGTAGAATAAGTGTCATGGTGGGAAATAGAAGTCATTATGCTTATGACTTAGATATTTCTATAATAAAAGGGAGATTAAAAATTTTTTTAAAGTGCTGGAGAGATTTCTTTTGGTCATAAGCTTAGGCATAGAAAGAACTAATTATTACAATGATTATGAATCTCCTAATTTATTTTCCTAACTTTTTAGTTGGGTTTTTATTTTTTTTAAGTATATTTTTTATTGATTTCAGAGAGGAAGGGAGATGGGGGAGAGAGAGATAGAAACATCAATGATGAGAGAGAATCATTGATTGGCTGCCTCCCGCATGCCCCACACTGGGGACTGAGCTGCCGAAACCCAGGCATGTGCCCCCTCAGGGAATTGAACCATGTCCTTCTGGTCCATGGACCGACACTCAACCACTGAGCCACACTGGCTGGACCTAACTTTTTCGTTTTAAAAATTAAAACTAATTTCTTTAATTTGAGAAATAGGAATGTTCAGCTTCCTCCCTCTTTATACTTGTTCTGCCTTTTTAGTTTCCCTGTAGATATACGTGTATTTAATTTTTAGTAATGTTGAGACTCCTTTGCTATTGTCTGGGAAATTTGTCCTGATTTAATAGGAAATGTTGTCTTCTGCAAAACACACATGACAGTAATTTAAATATGAAAATGAGAGTCCCCTCAGTCAAGTGACCATGGATTGAGGTAACTAGATTGGAATTGACTCTTCATTTGAGCACATTTCAGGACAGAGGAGTGGCTGTAAGACAGATATTGGAGGTTTATGGATCTAATTATTAAATATGAAATAGGACCTGAGGTTAGACTTTTCCAGCCTATTCCTGCTTTTTGCAAGGGTAAGTTGTCCAAGATACAAGTTTTCATTGTAAAATTGGCTTATTAGTCTTAAAATATCATATATAGTGTTTGCTTTGTATTTTTTGGTCATTTTTTTCTCCAGTTTTTTAATTGTGAACTGTCTTCTGCTTTTTCTCTCTGTATGTCAGCTCAAGTTCCTCCTTTCTTTGTTCTCTTTGTTGTTGATGCTCAGCTTCCTTGGCCATACACACTTACATGTACAGTTTTTATTACATTGGAATGCAATTTAATATATATTCTATGAGCAGTTTTAGTAAATAAATATTGGTTGATAATGATGGTGATGCTGACTGGTCTTGCTCATTTACGTGGTCTCTACTTACTTATTCTTGTAAAATGCAAACATAAAGTTGACTTTAAAGCAATACCAAAGAGATATACCTTCAGTGTATTTTAGAGAAGAATTTGCTTATGTGCTGTTTTGGGTTTGTTTGTTTTTAAATATATATTTTTATTGATTTCAGAGAGGAAGGGAGAGGGAGAGAGAGAGAGAAACATCCATGATGAGAGAATCATTTCATTGACTGGCTGCCTCCTGCAACGCCCCCCATGGGGATCAAGCCTGCAACCCGGGCATGTGCCCTGACTGGGAATCGAACTGTGACCACCTGGTTCATAGGTTGACACTCAAACACTGAGCCATGCCGGCCAGGCTGTGCTGTTTTTATTCACAAGTAATTTGTATTGTCTTGTCTCTTTTAGGAGGAGAGCATTCCCATCGCTTTATCTGGTAGGGATATCTTAGCTAGAGCAAAAAATGGAACGGGCAAGAGTGGTGCCTACCTCATTCCCTTACTTGAACGGCTAGACCTGAAGAAGGACAATATACAAGGTTAGTTGTTTGTTTAAACTAAAAATGACAGTTTAAATCTTGGAGCTATGTAGAAGATAGATAATTTTTTTAAGTTAGAATTTACATAATCTGGAATTAGTATTTATCCTTTTTTCCCCCCACAACTCTTTAAATAGTTTTCAAAATATTTTTTTATATTATGCAGTTTTGACAATATTCCAGTGATATAGGCAAAGTAAGCTATTGCCTTCTACATAGGAACACTAAGATCATGAGAAGTTAAATTGTTGGATGTTATTACTTAAAAACTATGGAACTGTGATTTTACTTATATGTGGAATCTAATGAACAAAAATAAACAAAATAGAAAAAAACCTATGGAACTGAATTGTTTCTGTGGCAGCTGTGTGTCTGCAAGTTTCCTATAGAAACATGAATCCCTTCTCTTTAAAGCCTTGCGTTTTTGGAATTTTAAAAGCTGAGGCAGTAGGGAAGAAACATTTCGTGCTTGTACACAGAGTAAGCTGAGAGAGTTAAGTTTTCACTTTTAAAGCAGTTTTGTTTTGTTTTAATTTTCAGCTGTTGTGACCTATAATTATAATTTCTCCCATCTTTCATTTACCTACTTTCATGTGATATAAATGAACCTGGGGCAAGAGTTTTCTATTTGGGTGTTTAGACTAGTGAGTCTCTTACTGAAATATTAAATTAGTAAACTTTAAGCAGGTGCCAATTTATAGAGAACCCTTTAAAAGTTTGTAATCGAGAATAGAACAAGACTTACAGCAACATTGTTTAGGAAACGTCTATATCTGGATCACTAAGGGGTTTTTGTTTTAGTCTTTTTTAAAGATTTGTTCATTTGACTTTTTAGAATTGGTTAGGCCTATTATGATTTAATTTTTTAATATGTCTGAGTATCTAGATTGCAAGGAGCAGTATTTCTGTAGCTTCTTAAACTCTTAAAATATATGTTATTTTTTCCTATTTTCTCTGTTGCTTGTTATTTTTCAGCAATGGTGATTGTTCCTACAAGAGAACTTGCTCTACAGGTCAGTCAAATTTGCATCCAGGTCAGCAAACACATGGGAGGGGCCAAAGTGATGGCAACCACAGGAGGAACCAATTTACGTGATGACATAATGAGGCTTGATGATACAGGTAGGAAATAACTCATACAAAGTCGCCTAGCTCTCTAAGTGTAATTTCATACACAGGCATTTCCTTTCAATAACTTATGAAAAATTGTTTTTAAGAATTAATAAGGGCCCTGGCCAGGTGGTTCAGTTGGTTGGAGTGTTGTATCGTGCACCAAAGGATTGCGGGTTTGATTCCCGGTCAGGGCACATACCTAGGTTGTGGGTTTGATCCCTGAATGCAGGAAATCAATTGATGTGTGTGCGCGCGCGTGCCTCTCTCTTTCTCTCTCTCTCTCTCTCTCTCTCTCTCTCTTTCCTCTCTCGCTCCCCCCTTCTGTGTCTTAAAAATCAATTTAAACAAGAATTAATAAGGAATGAAAACATTTCAGTAGAAAAATGAATAAAGGAAATGACAGCCTCATCCAAGAAAAAAGACAGATTGACAGTAATTAAAATGAAAAATGTAAATAAAAACAGCAAATTGATATTGTGCCTTTCTGATTGGCAAGACCAAAAACACATTAGTAACCAATAACATGAGTTTGTGGCAAAATAGGCTGCCTTACAATATAGGAGTATAAATTAATGCAATCTCTATGGTGGGCAAGTTGGTATATTTCAAAATTATGTATATTTTCAAGAATCTTTTTTAAAAAAAGAATTGGGCAAATGCAAGGCTGTTCACTACATTGTGGTTTTGTAGTACTGAAAAATTGGAACAGCCTAAACATTAGAGGATAGTCTGAATGGAATCCACACAGCCATTAAAGAATGAAGCTGATCGGTATTAATTTTTATGAAGGGTTCTCCATGATACATTACTGTGTGAAAAAAAAGATAAAACAAGAATGAAATCTTATAAATAAAATTATACATAGAATATTAGATTTTAATATGGTTTTCATTAGATCAATTACTATAGTCTTCATACTACACAGTTATTTTACATGATTATATCATTTGATCCTTATAACAGTTTCCTCAAGACCATTGCTCTAGTTGAAAGGCAGTCCACTATATTAGAATCCTGCTATGCCTTTTATTATTCATTAGGGATTTCCTAAGAAGGAAGTATGCCCTTTATTTGGAGCAAGTGATTTGGGAACCTTTAGCCCAGTGGTCGGCAAACTCATTAGTCAACAGAGCCAAATAGCAAAAGTACAACGATTGAAATTTCTTTTGAGAGCCAAATTTTTTAAACTTAAACTATATAGGTAGGTACATTGTTATTAACTTAATTAGGGTACTCCTAAGCTGGCCTTTGCTAAAAACGTCCTCAATCTGATTGAGGTACGTTCGCTGAGGTCGACCCCTTCCAACTCTCCCATCCACACTCGTCTTCTATACTTGTTTCGTCTATCTCCTTTAGTTCATCCTCTCTATATGTCCAAACCATCTCAACATACCTTTCTCAATCCTCGACACTACATCTTCTTTCACTCCACAACATTCCCTAAAATTAACTTAATAAACTTTACTTAAAGTTTTAAGTCTTAATTAAAACCTATAGTTAGAACCACTTCTTCAAAATAGACTTGCCCAAGCCAAAAACTGACTTCTGCGCATGGGCCATGAAGTTTCAACCGCACTGTACGTGCACGCCCGCATGTGGTATTTTGTGGAAGAGCCACACTCAAGGGGCCAAAGAGCCGCATGTGGCTCGTGAGCCGCGGTTTGCCGACCACTACTTTAGCCTATCCCATGTAGAGGTGAAACAAATAAGTATATCTTAGTCAACCTAAGATGAAATAGAAATCCATATTCTAAAATACAAATCTTTGTTTCTTTGTACTACAGTAGTCCCCCCTTACCTGCAAGGGATATGTTGTAAGACCTCCCCTCCCCCAATGGATGCCTGAAACTTAGGATCGTGCCAAACCCTACACACACACACATATACATACGTACACATTATAAATTAGGTAAGATATTAACAACAGTAACATAATAAAATGGAACAATTACAGCAATATACTGTAATAAAAGTTATGTGAATTTGGCCCTTCTCTGTTCACATCTACTACTCATAAACTTAATGCCTTTTCCATCTTAACTAAGCACTTACATGTACAGTGGTCCTAAGTTTCCCAGTTTGAGGCATGACAGCAAAACTAGCTAGCACCAATTTCTTTTTCTTCACAATTTCATGGGTAGAAGATTGATTCTCATCATACACCTTAATAAACTCAGCATATAGTTTTTTTCTTATGTAGAGAACTTCCACATTTTCACTTAAAGGAAGCATGTTCTGACTTCTCTTTGGCACCCCCAAATTGCTAGCATCACCACTCTTCACTTGAGGCCATTTAATTAAGTAAAATAAATGTTACTTGAACACAAGCACTGAGGTACAACTATCTGACAACCTAGATGGCTCCTAAGTGACTTAATAGGTGGTTAGCAGATATACTAGACCAGTGGTTCTCAACCTTCTGGCCCTTTAAATACAGTTCCTCATGTTGTGACCCAACCATAAAATTATTTTTGTTGCTACTTCATAACTGTAATGTTGCTACTGTTATGAATCGTAATGTAAATATCTGATATGCAGGATGGTCTTAGGCGACCCCTGTGAAAGGGTCGTTCGACCGCCAAAGGGGTCGCAACCCACAGGTTGAGAACTGCTGTACTAGACAAAAGGATGCTTTACATCCTGGGCAGGTCTGAGTGGAAAGGTGCAAGTTTTCATCACGTTTTTCAGAATGGCTTGAAATTTAAGCCTATGAATTGTTTATTTTGGGAATTTCCATTTAATATTTCCAGACTGCATTTGACTATGGAAAGTGAAACTGGATAAGGAGGGACTACTGAATTCCTAACTCTCCAACAATGCAAATTGACCAAACACAGAATGACTGGTCGCTATGACGCACACTGACCACCAGGGGGCAGACGCTCAATGCAGGAGCTGCCCCCAGCCTGAAGGCTGGTGCCAGCGGGGCACCCCCCCCCCTGCCCCGCACTCCCCATTGCTTTGCTAGGGACCCTACCCATGCACAAATTTCATGCATCAGGCCTCTAGTAGATATATATTTTTAAAGGTTTATATATGTATGCAAGCCTTTACTACATCCTTTTTGCCCAAGCTAAAATTAATGAGAATATGTTTTCTAATCTTGTGTAGTGCACGTGGTAATAGCTACCCCTGGGAGAATCCTGGATCTTATCAAGAAAGGAGTAGCAAAAGTTGATCATGTCCAGATGATAGTATTGGATGAGGTAATGTCTCTTCATTTGCAAAGATGCTATTCTGTATTATTCTGAGCTTTATTTAGAATTGTCAGTGAATGAAGCAAAGGTTCTTTGTGTTTTCCTTATGATCTTCTAATAAACACACGACTTTTGTCAGTTCAAACTAATATGCTTATAAAACATGTTTTGCCCTTTAAAGGCAATAGATGATAGTTATTTGTAGGAATAGTTCAGCCTTGTGCCTTTCTTAGGGATGCCAGATAGTTTGGATTTTATTTTTATTTTTCAGGATGAGAAGTTGTTGAATTACCTCAAACCAAGTTCATGCTAAGTCTCTTTCCATTTAGTGATACATCTTAAAAGGCATGTAATGTCTTTAACCCCTCATTTAGCGTATAATATTTGGTATTTGGTTTTTTAGTCTCTGTTACATGTGTTATCTCACTAGGTAGTAAGTGCCTTTAAGAACTTACTCAGCTCTGTGTCCTTTGGTTCCAGTAGTGTTTTATACATACAGTATATCACTGTTAATATTTTGAAATAAAATTACTTTCCTATTTGGTCAGCGTTTTAGCTAGATAGACAGATCAGGTCGATTGTGGTCTAATTCAGATCAGCTTTTTTTTTTGAGGAATGAGAGGGAACATTTATTTTTCACTCTGTATTAACATTAGGTGCTTTACATGTTTTTTTTGTTTTTAATTTTTGCAACAACCTTGTAAGATAGGTATCCTGTGAAGTTACTGTAGTGAGTACACGTCCTAATTTAAAAATTGTAGAATGTGAAGAATTGATTGGTTAAGCAACCTCCCGTGTAGTAAATTGAAGAAAACAAGATTTCAATCCAAGTAATTTGACTCTGCAGCTTGTACTTTTAACCAGTATACCATACTGCCTCTTTAAAGGAAATCATATTAAAATTCTGTTATGGAATCTGCTAGGATTCCTGCCACCATTTCCCCTGTAGATGGGTATTACAGACTTTCCCCTTCTGAGTCCCTGGGCATGTCTTGGTGCTGTCGGGTTATGTTGTGTAGAGAACTTCGTGTTTACCACCAGGAACGTTCCATGAATGCTCTTGGTGGATGATGCCGTAGTTACTAAAGACCTTGACATTATTTAATTGTTTTTAAAATTGTCTTCTCTTGTACTGCAGGCAGATAAGTTGCTGTCACAGGATTTTGTGCAAATAATGGAGGATATTATTCTCACGCTACCTAAAAACAGACAGATTTTATTGTATTCCGCTACTTTCCCTCTTAGTGTACAGAAGTTCATGGTGAGTGTGAGACAGATGTGCTTGGAAGCAATGCCATCCTGTTTCTCAGGCGCATATCTTCATTCGTAATTATATCTTATTATCAGGCTACAGTTTAGGCTGATTATTTTTAAGTTTTTGGCTTTTTTTTTCAGCTGATTAAGGTTTGTTGTGCATAAATTAACTGAATTTTTAAATAGTAATTTGATTAAATCCTTCATTGTTCACTTTTTGGTGTCAGGCTGCTGACACAGCCATTGATCCTATGTAAATTTATTACAGCATAATCCTGTACACAAAGTACAAAATAGTAACTTAGTTACATATCTGACTGTTAAATCTCACATTTTATTGTAATTTATTTCTTCCATGAAAGATTGTATATTTTTGTTTTCAAGAGAGCTACATCCTTAAAGCAATAGTTTTTACAGACAGATGTATAGGATATATTTTGAGCTTAAGAGATACACTCTGCTTTCACTTAAGAATAAGACTTCTTCTGTTTTATTTATTGTTTGTTTGTTTTCAGAATTCCCATTTGCAGAAACCCTATGAGATTAACCTGATGGAGGAATTAACTTTGAAGGGAGTAACCCAGTACTACGCATATGTAACTGAGCGCCAAAAAGTACACTGCCTCAACACACTTTTCTCCAGGGTAAGGAATAGGTTTCCTGAACATTATCCATTACTTAATTCCAATAAAACACAATTGTATCAGTTTCCCCATCACTTTAAATGTTTAAAAAAAAAAGTTCTTAGCTTTTCCTGAAAAATAGTTTCAGCTGGTCTAAAGTTGATAGGGTATAATTGACACGTCTTAGGTGCTTTTAATTTAATTCTAAAATAGTTTGACCTTAATTAAAGTTGATTCTCATGTTTGCAGTAATTATAGTCAGTCCTCGTTTGCGGATACTGTATTTGCAAATTTGTACTTGCCAAAATTTATAACCACAATCAGTACTTGCATGCATTTGAGGTCATTTATGGACATGCATAATGCGAGGAAAATTTTGAGTCATTGTGCATATTCCCAACTAAGGTCATATTCATGGCCTATTTAATGCCACATCTTTTTTGCATTTTTGTGACTTTTTTGTTGATTTCATTGTTTAAAAGCATAGTGTTAAAGTGCTGTCTAGTGCACCAAAGTACAAAAAGACTGAAGTGCCTCGCAGGGGAAATGTGTATTAGGTAAACTTTGCTTGCACAGGCATTAGTTATGGTGCTATTGACCATGAATAAATAAAGTGTCTTTAAACCAGGGGTCCTCAGACTTTTTAAACGGGGCCAGTTCACTGTCCCTCAGACCGTTGGAGGGCTGGACTATAGTTTAAAAAAAAACTATGAACAAATTCCTATGCACACTGCACATATCTTATTTTGAAGTAAAAAAACGGGAACAAATACAATATTTGTATTTGCATGTGGCCCGCGGGCCGTAGTTTGAGGACCCCCTGCTTTAAACAGTAACACAAAAACAAGGCTGTCTATTGATTCATTGATGAAAATCTCATGGCCAACCCTGGCCAGTGTGGCTCAGTGGAGTGTCATGCTGTACACCGGAAGGTGGCAGGTTCGATTCCAGGTCGGCACGTACCCAGGTTTCAGGTTCAACCTCTTGTCGGGGCATGTGTGGGAGGCAGCCAGTTGATGTTTCTCTCTCTAATACCAGTTTTTTTTGTTTGTTTGTTTTTTTAATTTTATTATTTTTTTTTTCTTGGTCAAAGCAATTATAATCCATGACATACACAATCCCCATTCTATCAGGCAAATCTAATACCAGTTTTAAAAAACACACAGAAAAACTTGTGACCAGATGTTCACAGTAACTACCCTGTATTTATGCTAGGAGCAATGGTTCTTCATTCACTAATTCAGTATTTGCAGCAACTGTTTTGTTTTATTCTTGCTGGCAATTGTGTGCCCTTATGAAATATACTGTACTACAGTAAAACTTATAAAGTATCTGCAAATATTAAGTAAATGAATAGTATTTACAATTTTTAAAGTTTTGCATCTTTTGTGTCATAAGACTCTCTGTCATAGACCATGGTTTTAACATTTGTTTGCCAGTCAATATTTTCAAGGTGTGCAAAGTAAGTAAAGGTGTTTTCCCACTCATGTCTCTCCCCTCATCCCCTGTGCTCAGCTTCAGATAAACCAGTCGATCATTTTCTGTAACTCCTCTCAGCGAGTTGAATTGCTAGCCAAGAAGATTTCTCAACTGGGTTATTCTTGCTTCTATATCCATGCTAAAATGAGGCAGGTGAGTGTCAAACTAGAACTTGCACAGATTTTTAAAACATCTTTTTCTAAGTATTTCTTGGATTTTGTTTTAATGCTCCTCCAAATGTCCTGAGTTTAAGAAGAAATGATTCCTTAGTAGATGAAGGACTCTTCATTTTATCCTCCTGAAGGCCCAGTTTTCTACTATGAAATAGGGGTAATAATACATACTCATCTCATAAGGAGGATTGAGATAATGTACGAATATCTGTCAATGGTCAAGCGTGATACAAATGTCAGACTTTATTCCTTTCTTTCCCCAGGTTATCTCTAGTTTTGCACTATTTAATACAATAGCCTCTAGCCACATGTGGCAATTTAAATGAGTTAAAATCAAATCAAATTTAAATGTTTCAGTCACACTAACCACATTCAAGTGCCTCATTACGTGTCACAATTACCTATGGTTTTGGACAGTACAGACACAACATTTCCATTATTGCCGAGGATTTTACATGTTTAATGTATCTATGAACCTCCTCAACCAAGTACTTTTTTTTTTTACTCTTTGCTTAAGAAAAGGATGGAATCTACATTTCTGAACTTTTTATTTAGCACATAATAAATTAAAAGCTATAATGACATTTTTTTGTGTGTGTGCCTAATGAAATTTCATGAAAAGCAGTTTCTGTAGACTTGTCAAGGTTAAGAACTTAAATTACTTAACTCACATTTGGTTTTCAAAGAAGCTTAATGTCATGGATCAGATACCACCACCATGTAGGCGCCTCGCAGTTAGAAATTATCACAGGAAATGAATGTATTAAACTGATGAGAATATTTTAAAATGGAAGAATTTTGTGCTCAAAAGATAAGCCAGTTTGCCAGATGCTAGATTTATCACTTCCTAGAATCATTGTGTATACTCCATTTTTGTTTTTTAATTGGAAAGTAGTTATTTTAGCTTTTGTATATAATTACTAAAAGGGTAAAACAGATGTTTCGTCAAGCCAAACTTGGCATCGTCTGTTGGAAACATTTTTAAAGGGTATATATATACAAAAACATGGTGAAAATTGTTACTTGAAATCCACTTCAGCAAAAAATATAAATACCTTTGACTTAAAATAAATACAACATATAGAGATGTATTAGTTGCTTATTAATTCCTATGGGAAACCAATTTATGGTGTTTTTTAACATTATAAATATATGTATATTGAATTGGTTCACCTCTCATTTGTGTAAACAAATTTTGTGCAGGAGAAATAGTGGGGATTTGGGGCTGTGTGCCTGAGTTTTGGTCAAATCAAATGCATTGCTCTGTTCCTAGGAACATCGAAATCGTGTCTTTCATGATTTCCGAAATGGCTTATGCCGCAATCTTGTTTGCACTGGTAAGTACTTTTTATTCTCTTTATCCATTGCTTTTTTCCTATTTCTGTTCTGCTGTTTTGTTCTATGTTACGCAACAGGAGCCTGTGACATAGCCTAGCTCACCCTAGTACCACTTCTAGAACTTCTGAAGTAGAGAATGAGCTGTGGTTAACTCCTGAAATCAGGTTCCATATCTGAAGCTGTGGAAGACTGATTTTGGCACTCATGTCCTACCTACCTTCTAAACTAATTTTAGAATTTGTGCGTTTTCTGAATAGTTTTAGCATACACAAAATGAATTATATTGTGAAACCATCTGTGTTTTAGAAATTGCTTATTGTGGCCTTTTGATTTTTTGCCAGAAGCAGACTATTCTGAATTTTGTTATATTTTCACTGCATGAAGAAAAACACTGGGGAGGCAGACAGGCAATCAACTAGACAAAGCAAATGGATTCAGTATCCTCCCGTTTTTTTTGTTCGTTCATTTTTTAAATATATTTTTATTGATTTCAAAGAGGGAGGGAGAGATAGAAACATCAGTGATAAGAGAGAATCATGGATCAGCTGCCTCCTGAACGCCCCCCACTGGGGATGGAGCCTGCAACCCAGGCATGTGCCCTTGACAGGAATCAAACCCAGGACCTTCTGTTCGCAGGCTGACACTTTATCCACTGAGCCAAACTGGCTAAAGCTCCTCCCATCTTTACGTTAGGAATATAATCTTAATACTGGTATAAGATTAATAGTCTTCTGGGTAGAGAGAAAGCCTAGAATTTTTAAAAATTATTGAGGTAAACACATAGACAAATAATATGTATATTATTTGAATATTTACATGTGCATTCAAATCAAGATTTAGAATATTTCAAGATTTGTGTTTTTAAAAATGCTACTGTAGCCGAAACCGATTTGGCTCAGTGGATAGAGCGTCGGCCTGCGGACCGAAAGGTCCCACACGTGCGGTTGACTGGGAATCAAACCCGAGATCCTTTGATGATGCTCTAACCCAGCCGTGGGCAAACTACGGCCCGCGTGCCGGATCCGGCCCGTTTGAAATGAATAAAACTAAAAAAAAGCAGACCGTACCCTTTTATGTTTTAAAAATAAAAAAAATAAAAAATAAAAATGCTACTGTAGAAATAAACTTTGAAATTTTTTAGCAGAGTATTTAATTTACATGAATAAAAAGGACTGTCAAATATCTTCCAGTTTATCTTGTTTCTCTGCCTTACATCTGAAGAACAGTTTAATATAGCTGTGAATTATACATTTATGTTCACATTTGTCATTTGCTATTAAGCATTTCCCTGTTTGAATGAGAATTTTTTTTCTTAATTTTACTTATTGATTTTAGGGGGGCATTGATTTGTTACTCCACTTATGCATTCATTGGTTGCTTCTTGCATGTGTATTGGGACATCACTCTAGCCAACTGAGCTACCCAGCCAGGGGGAGAAATCCCCCCCCCAAATGTTCTTTGTACTTATATACTGATATAAATTATTGTGATTAATGCTTTTTTAAAAAATACCGAGAATATTTTTTTCATTGATTTCTATAGAAGGAGGGAAAGAGAGGGGGCACATCGATTGACTGCCTCCCACACGTGCGGTTGACTGGGAATCAAACCCGAGATCCTTTGATGATGCTCTAACCCAGCCGTGGGCAAACTACGGCCCGCGGGCCGGATCCAGCCCATTTGAAATGAATAAAACTAAAAAAAAAAAAAAAAGACCGTACCCTTTTATGTAATGATGTTTACTTTGAATTTATATTAGTTCACACAAACACTCCATCCATGGTTTTGTTCCGGCCCTCCGGTCCAGTTTAAGAACCCATTGTGGCCCTCGAGTCAAAAAGTTTGCCCACCCCTGCTCTAACCACTGACCAAAGTCAGCCAGGGCAATGGGTTTTATATTTAATCATTACTTGCAAAGTTGCCCTCAGGTTTTTGAAGTACCAGTGCCTTCTTTCTGATTTTTCAGAACAGTGATGTCATTAATACTGAATAACATGTATAAACATACAAACACCTGCAAAGTACCACCCCTTTCTTCAAGCAGCAATGGTTTAATGAATGGTTAAAAGGTGAATAACATTAAGAGTCTAGCCCTAGCCAGTTGCTCAGTGGTTAGAGCTCCAGCCTGAGGACCGAAGGGTCGCAGATTCAGTTCTTGTTGGGGTGTGTGCAGGAGGCAGCCAATCAATGTGTCTCTCACATTGATGTTTCTATCTCTCTGTCTTTCCTCCTCCCTTCCACTCTCTCTAAGAAAAATTAATGGAGCCCTAGCTGGTTTGGCTCAGTGGAGAGAGCTTCGGCCTATGGACTGGAGGGTCCCGGGTTCGATTCCGGTCAAGGGCACATGCCCAGGTTGCGGGCTCAACCCCAGTAGGGGCCGTGCAGGAGGCAGCTAATCAATGATTCTCTCTCATCATTGATGTTTCTATCCCTCTCCCTTTCTCAAATCAATAAAAATATATTTTTTTTAAAATTAACAGAAAAAATATCCTTGAGTAAGGATTAACAACAACAAAAGTCTAAAGCAGGGCCTGCACACTTTATCTGTAAAGTGGTGGCTAGTAAATATTTTAGACTTTGCACACCTTGTTGTCTTGTTACAAGATATTCAGCTCTGCCATTCTAACTCAGAAGCACCCTTAGTATATAAACAAATGGGCATGGCCACATGGCAGTAAGACTTACAGCCCTGGCCGGTGGGTTCAGTGGTTAGAGGCTTGGCTTGTGCACCAAAGGGTCACAGGTTTGATTCCCAGTCAGGGGTATGTGCCTGGGTTGCAGGTTCAACCCCCAGCCCATCAGGAGGCAATCAATCAATATGTCTCTCTCACATCAATGTTTTTCCTTCTTTTCTTTCTCTTTCTCTCTTTCTCATACACATCAATGTTTCTCTCTCTCCCTCTCCCTCTCCCT